TGTGATGGCATGCCCATCCTGGTCTGCTTTCCGACTTAATGCAGGGAATGATGTGACCCAGTGCTGTAAATCAGGTTACTCAGGCCTCTATTCTGTACACACACACACACACACATACACACAATAGACAAATTAATCTCGGCTCTACTCTTAGTTTTTGTCTGATTATATTCGGCTCTTCATTAGTCAACCCAGTGGATAACCGAAAGTAGAATTCAAAATTAGTGCACAGACCAGCCAGGTTATTGGTGGCCTCAAACCGAATAATTTCAGTTCAGTTTCAGTTTGTACAACCATTAACCACGCTGTCCATTTGGATAAACAGTAGGTGAAGTAAAAGAAAGTTGAAAGTAGAATCGAATAGAAAATGGAGAAGTTCAATGGTCTAAGGTTGCAAAGAAATTGAGGAGGTGCACGAACGCCACTGTTTACGATACCCAGCCATATCAATCAGTGTCTCTAACTATCGGTTACCGTCATCTCGAGGTCGATCACTTGCTCCAATGGGCGACCGCGTATACCTAAAACTCTGCGCCTCACCTCAGCATTGCTCATCCGGCTACCCCACCAGATTCGTGCAATGCTGCGTAGACAGCGGTGTTCAGATACAAGCTGTTAGCGTTCCGTAGGAGACCTGCTACTGTGAAGCGGTTTATGCGAAAAATCTGACAGAGTCATTTTCCGACAGCTTATTACAAGTGCAATCATTCTCGAACCAATCCGGTTTCCAGTTGAGTACTTCCAATTGGTTTGAATGCGTTTTTATTCTTTCCCGATCTGAATATCCCTTGGATCCCTCAGTCATCAATTCTGTACCCATCACCAGAACGCATCCCCAAATACCTAGGAGTCATCATAGATAGCAATCTACGGTGGTCCTCTCATGTGCGAGCCTGTGTTGGTAGATTGTATCCCTTATCTTTTCAAGTACGCAAGCTACGACAATTTAGAATGAAGCATGAAACTGTATGTTCCTTTGTTTATCAATGCATTTTTCCTTTCATACTTTATTGTTCGCCCGTTATTTTCCCTGGACTACTTACAAAGGATTTCATTGCTCTTTTTTGCGGTTAGGTAATTATCAGCCATGTTCCGCTTATTCCTTTAAACACTCTGATCACAAAATTGTGCAATTTGCATATTACTTCATGTGAGAATTTCGCTGATAAGATACTCTATCACCTCAGTCATCCGCTCAATCCCGATCTATCTCCTTGCCGTTCCCACGCTACAAACCGATCCAATTGTCGCTGTTTGCCATTCCGCATAAAAATTTATCGCAACTCAAAAGTTCCCTATCTGGCTCGTATTCTCACTGACACGGTGAAGATCCGTAACGAACTAATTTTAAACCTACAAAGATGAACACCTGTTTACGTTTTATCATTGTTGCATATGAATTTTCATTTCATTTTTTATCCCATCGTAACGGTGCCCACATTTCTGACTGAACTGTTCGCACAGTTGCCTGCACAAGTCATCTATGATAGTGGTAATAATAATAATAATAATAACACCTAGTTTTTATTGGTTTTCCATCTTATGTCAAATCGTCCACCCTGCTAAACTATGATGGGTTTCTATGCTAACTACTATTCATTATGTTTTGTGTAACCACTTTGACCGTTAAAATTGAAATTTCAGGCGGCTCAAGAAAAGGAAGAACTACAGCAACGAGGTGACGCGCTGGATGTGGAAACGCGACGCGCGGAACAAGAGGTGATTGCCCTGGAAAACACACTGGCCGTGATGAACGGATGCAATCAGGTGTACCGAATGAGTCATGCCAAATTGCCCGAGGATTCAGAAGAATTGCGACTGGACAAAGAGTTACGTGAGGAGCACCAGGTGTTGACCATTAAGCTGCGCTACGATATGGACAAACTGTGCGAACTGAGACAAACAGAACAAGTAAGACCACGGTAGAAATTTCGCTGAACTGATGGAGCTGTATTGTTTTGATGTTTGTATGCTACCGATCTCAGTCTCGGATTCGGCATAAATTGTGGCGCTTGAGTTTTATTTTTTTGTTCACTATTCAGATCAGATCAAGTAGATCACTTTTTCACAAGGGAGTGGTGGAGGAGTTTGGTTGTCTGGTGCAAGTGAATAGGTCCTGCCTGAGAGAGACCAGCGTCAACCGAGACTAATTTATCTTGCCCGGAGGGCAGGTGCGGTTGTTCTCTTGAGTAGAATATATATATCTCATGATAAGTAGTGTATGAATGACTGGACAACATTGTCCTCGAAGCACACAACCGGTTTCGCGGTTCCGATTGCTAGTCATGTATGAGTATCGGGTATTCTTTTGTCAGGTTATTCATATACTTGTACCAAGGAGGTGTATTTTCGTCACGCTAACCTCATTTGCAACACTGGGTAATTCTGATAATTTCTTTCAGAGTCAGTCCATGGAAGGAAGAATCAATACTGTGATTCGATGTTTTATAAGTGGGGTAGATGCTATCTACAAAATGCAACACAACGCAAACTTGAGCGCCTATAGAATAATAATAAGTAACGACTAGCAAGAACCGCGGAACTTCCAGGGAACTTTCATCCAGTCATTCATATACTATTTATTATGGAATATTCTATTAAGACGTTCAAGTCACGTTTGTTTCGGTTGATAGCATCTAACCCGAAGACTTTATCCTCACTCGATAACTCACTCACTTTTATGCCTTGGCGTTCAAAACTAAACCCATTCGTAGTGAACGAACGTTTGGACAGACCCGATTCGGTAGGTGATATAAGACTGTCAAGGCGCAAATCACTTTTCGAGTTCCTAGTAGAATGCGATTAGTGTATTCACTTAGAGTTACCAGGGTTTAATCTGCAGTTTGAAAGATAAAGTTGGAGATTGAAACCCTTCATGTGAATAGCGAACTCACACTATGCGTGATTGTGTTCTTCAGTAATAAGGAGAATCAGAGGTGGAATTCATGTCACTTTTTCTTTTCACATTCAATCACCAATTTGAAAGCGTGTGTGTGTGTATGTGTAGGTCGGTTAGTGCTAGTGGTTCATTACGCGTGAGGAACGGAACTTTAGGGCCGAAAGTAACAAATTATTAACACGATTAGATAATGCCAAGGATTAACGACCCCCACCCCACCCCGAAACAATTTGGATCATGAAAGCAGAGTGGAATGGCAAGTGAACGCTAGTGAGTAAGGTAGAGAAACAGATTGTGTTTGAGGGAGTAGGTGATGAGTGAACACAGAGGGCACATGGTACACGAGAGAGAGGTGAAGCCAGTGTGACCACCAGCTGCCCTTGTGTGTTGGTAGTAGAGATCAGTAGATCGATTTGAATACGTATATGCTACGTACGCATTTGTACATCAGTACCCTTGATCGTTCAATCACGTGACAGTTGTTCATGAAGGACATTGACTAATACCCTTCCGATCCGTTTCATCCGTGAGCCAGCTTGACCTAGTTTACGGCCATCGTTTAATTGACGGATGTATTCTCACGATCATTCATTAAATCCTTAACCCGGTTCCGATCATCACACTTTCTTGTGTGTTCTAATTTCCTGTGTTGGGTTACGGGCCCCTAAGAATACTGCACATAGCATCGCGGTTGATATTCGGCCTTAACAGCATCCAGAATTACCCAATGGTGTTCAAATTCTTTATCTTGTAGAACCTGAAGGATGAATCAATTGCAATCACACGAGAAATGGAACCATATTTGGAACAAATAGAGGAACTAACACAAGAACTGGAAAGAAAAAATCGGGAGATTATGGCCCAACGTGAACGCCTAACACGAGCTCAAATTCGCCTGAAAAAAGCGATCGCTAAGGCAGAACAAAAAGAACCCAGTCAGTTGGAACCGATTCGATCAGATATCCAGGTACATGCTACTTTGGTTACCTTTCTAGCGTTGCATCTTTATTTTTCATCAGTTAGCTGTTATTCATGGTCATGGAGAGCCGTCGTGAGTATGCCTATTCCCTACCTGTGCAATTGCTGGGCAAAATGTGCGGTAAAATATCCATTCATCTAGTATCAGATATTATCTATAAAGTGAAAAATTCTTTGGTGATACAGGTGTATTATCGATAAGTTTTGCACTTTGACAATTTTCTTCCTCACAGACAACTGAGAAAATGAATAGCTATGATATAACAGGTTATTTTAGATTTTGGAACGACCTGAATTTAAGTCTATATTCTCTGGAGCAGAAGAAGTAATGGTCCAATTATGGACTAAGTTTGGGCCTCGTGCGCAACTTTATGGCTTGACGGATAGAAAAATCTCATCACACCGTAACAAATCCAGCGCTGGACAATATACAGTAAAATCGACGATGATGCTTCATGCTGGAGTTCTTGGACTTGCGGAGCGATCGAGATTGCGATTAAGTGTGTCATTTCAATCGGAAATTCGTTCTTCATGCTTCCTGAAATCTTCCTTGAACTGCGTGTAGAGAAATTTCTCCTGGAAATACCTAATCGGGATCCGACAATTGTGCGGTTATTCATTTTCGACTAGCATTAACGCCCGTCTGAGTTCGGACAACTATTTAGGCACCAATATTTCCGTCACTATAGATCCGCAATACAAACGNTATGTCTGAGTACACGGATTAAAACTTTAATCTTTTAAAATAATCCATTTCCATTCTTTCTTCAGGCGAAAACGTATAAACATGTTGGTTTTCGTTGACAACATTACTGTGTAATCATCACTCGAAATTATAAAACGCCTAACTTTTGCACTGCAGTTTACCTCTCGTCTTATGTCGTTGAGCAGCAAAGGTTTTCCCCGTAACGGCAGCAGTCATTCTTCGCTTATTATCAAGTAATTTTCTGTCTAAGTGGATTTAATAGTGTGATAGAAACCACATTTTGGAAATGGGCAGGCATCACTCATAGGGAATTGGTATTAAGGTACGAAAAATACATGCTTATTTCTCTTCATCGATTAAATACAATCTATTGGTCTTGGAGCATTTATTCTTATATCTCCAATTTCAGTTGTGCTGGCAGTGCAAATACGTTCAGTTTGAACAACCATGAATCATGCACTTTCGTGCGCCGGTTTTAGTTGCTGTCTTTTGGCTGTCCATTTGGATAAACAGTAGGTGAAGTAAAAGAAAGTTAAAAGTAGAATCGAATAGAAAATGGAGAAGTTCAGTGGACTAATGTTGAAAAGAAACCGAGGATATATACGAAGGCCACTACTTAAGACATTCAACCGTATCACTCAGTCTCTCTAACCATCGGTTACGATCATCCCGAGGTCCCCATCTAGGGGCCTAACGGGACCTATGTGACCCAGTCCCTGGTTAAGGTTTTCATACCCTAGTGCAGGGTCTTAGCTTNATGAAGGTCAACTACTTACTGCAGCGGACTCCCGTGATTACCTAAAACTCTAGACCTAACCTCGGCATTGCTCGTCCGGTTACCCCACCAGACTCGTGCAATGCGACGTAGACTGATCTATTTACATGGACTGAAATTTC